AAAAAAAAAAAAAAAAAAAAAAAAAGAGTGAACAGGCAACCTACAGAATGGGAGAAAATTTTTGCAATCTATCCATCTGGCAAATATCTAATATCCAGAATCTACAAGGACTTAAACAAATTTACAAGATAAAAACAGCCCCATCAAAAAGTGGGTGAAGAATATGAACAGACACTTCTCAAAAGAAGACATTTATGTGGCAAACAAACGTATGAAAAAAAAACCTCATCATCACTGGTCATTAGAGAAATGCAAATCAAACCCACAATGAGATACCACATCACACTAGTTAGAATGGCAATCATTAAAAAGCCAGGAAACAACAATGCTGGCGAGGCTGTGGAGAAATAGGAATGCTTTTACACTGTTGGTGGGAGTGTAAATTAGTTCAACCATTGTGGAAGACAGTGTGGTGATTCCTCAAGGATCTAGAACCAGAAGTACCATTTGACCCAGCAATCCCATTACTGGGTATATACCCAAAGGATTATAAATCATTCTACCATAACAACACATGTACACAAAATATATTTATTGCAGCACTATTCATAATAGCAAAGACTTGGAACTAACCCAAATGCCCATTAATGATAGACTGGATAAAGAACATGTGGCACATATACACCATGGAATACTATGCAGCCATAAAAAGAATGAGTTCACGTCCTTTTTATGGCTGCATAGTATTGGGGGAAGAATTAGAAAAATTCTAATTGCTGGGACTACAGGTATGCACCACCACACCCAGCTAATTTTTTGTATTTTTACTAGAGACGAGGTTTTGCTGTGTTGCCAAGGCTGGTCTTGAAGTCCTTAACTCAAGCAGTCTGCCTGCCTCAGCCTCCCAAAGTGCTGGGATTACAGGTGTGAGCCACCACACCCATCCAGAAGTGTTTTAAGAGGCAGAAAGACAGTCAGAAAAATGACAGCTTGGTTGGGATCAAACCTTGCAAAATTTGTGGTAATATGATTAACTCCATGCTCCTCTTTTCTATGCTAGCAAAACGTGTCTAGGATGCCAGAATATTAATAGAACTGTCTTATTTCTAAAACAAATAGACATCTCATAGCACATGCTGATACTATCTGGAGAGCAGAAAAACAAGAAGCAGATTGGGAGATTGAGAGATTGGGAGACATCTTTTCTTTGTAACACCTGCTTGCTGAGGGAGCTCTGAGAATCAATGGGTTGTTTTTTTTTTTGTTTTTTTAATTTTTATTTTTGTTTAAAAAACGATGGGGTTTCACCATGATGGCCAGGCTGGTCTTGAACTCCTGACCTCAGATGATCCACCCACCTCGGCCTCCCAAAGTGCTAAGATTACAGGTGTGAGCCACCGCACCCGGTGGGTTGTTTTTTAATAATTATCAATTCCCATTTTCTTTGTCCCAAGTGATTAAAGGTATTTCTGAAGTGTTATTCATAATAGCAAAAACTTGAAAACAAATGCTTGTATGAGATTAAATGATGATTATGATACGTTTTGTACAATGAAGTACTAAAAATAGTTAAGCACTTCTAGGGCTGCTAATATGGCACCTGTCTAAAAAGGCACTTTCTCCCGATGGATGTAGCCTGGCAGAATCACAGACTGAGGGCTGATTTCCACCTCCTCTTGTCGCCTTGGACAGGCATCCCTGCTCAGGACACAATTATACTGGTGGTACTGGCTGGATTTATGCTAACCTTATAGAAGATGATCACTTTATATTATGTAATGAAGTGTATATATGCCATAAATTTATATCATCTGATCCTATTTTTAAACATTGGAGTACATATATTTGTAAATGCGCAGGACAGAAATTCTCTGGAACGTTGTATATCACACTACTAATCATTGGTTGAATCCAGGAAGTGAGGCTGGAGTTGGGAAGGGGGAGAGAATTGTTTTTACTTTATACAGTTCTCTGCTATTTTAATTTGCATGTTAGCATATTTTGCATTTGTGATTGTAATATATTTTAAATTTTATTGGTAAAATTATGAATGAGACTCTAATTAAACTCGTCACTGAAAAGAATTTAAACTTGCCACTTTGTAACCCTGCTTTGCAGTTAGGCACTATACTTGAAGAGAAAATAATGGCTCCATAAAATCATGGGAAGAGATGAGTGGGGTGGCTGTTCTACAGAGTGGTTCAATACACCTCTGTGTTCATCTTCCTTAGAAACCTTATATATTGTATCGTGTTCGTTGAAAACTGATGATTTGAACTATGGCATAACCTTGAACTGAAAAGTCTTTGTTCTTATATAATTATATCCTTCTAACTTGGATCACAACTGCATTTTATAATCCTAATAGATAACCTATAAGACATGATCATGTTCTTGATTAACCATGCAGGACATGCTGTTGGTTATCTTCTGATCTTTCATTTGTCTTCCTCCTTCTGAACTGAGTCCCAGCTGAGTTCCTATGTTCACTCCCCACCACACACATATAGCCCTTATGACTCAGGGGAAGCTGACTCCATCCCCAGCTCCCAGGGTAGATCAGGATTTGTCTAACTAGTGATTCTGAGTGTGGTCTCCAGATAAGCAGCATCAGTATGACCTGGAGCTTGTTAGCAACATTAGACCCTATTCTCAACCTTCTGAAACTAGAAATGTTGGTCTCAGTTGTGTTTTAACAAACTCCAGAAGTGATTCTGAATCACATTAAAGTTTGAGAACCACTGTTCTTAACTAAGGCTGGTAATCGTAAACTCTTTACCAGCAATTGATTCAGTGCTTGGTTTTCCACTGGCTAAAGTTAATGTTCCAAAGATGGACGTGTAACCTAAATTGACCTAATCAAAGTGAAAGGCAGAAATTTTATCCAAAGATGAAAGAGATTTTCTGTCTCTGCCACTGAACCTAAAGTAGGTCTGCCATCTTAGAACCTTGAGAGAAGCTAGCCTGAGGACAAAGTCAATGTGAGGTAGAACCAAAGATGCAGAGGACCTTGCTGTAACTTCCTGGCGGAGCCCTAATTTAACTTGCAGTTCTGTGAGATCACAGATTTCTTTATCGTTTCAGCCACTTTGAATTCAGGCATTTTTTTTTCTCTTGCAGCCGTAAGTATTGTGTTTATTAAAATACATATAATCATTTTCTAACTGTTCAAGGTTAAATCTGAATTCTCCAAGCAAGTTGTATTCCTATTGCCTTGCCTCTAGTATGGTGGCTTTAACACTTAATTGTCTGATGTTGTGAATAAGAACAAACACGTGAATGAATGATCACACATTGAAAGAACAGGCAGACCATATCATTTTCATTACTCTTATCAAATACAATTTATACAGAGTCGTTAGGAGGCCCCAACAGTAGTTAATCCACTAATGCAAACAATGAATTGGCATGGTAACCTTAGTTTTAACACTATTTTTTGCTGTAACTAAGTGAAATTCTTTCCAGCTAGCTTAAGCAAAAACGGAGGTCTATTATAAGACTATTGGAGTGGGTCACATACCATGGATTTTACTCCAACTCCAGCCAACAATTACGTGTGCCATTGATGACGGCAGTGTATCTGGATCAAAGAAAATTGAAATTGATTACCAATTATGAAAAAAACAACCCATTAATCCATAGGGCTCCCTGTGAATAGGAAGACCAAAAAGAAAAGATATCTCCCAATCTGCTTTTGGGTTTTTTATTCACTCAAGAGCAAAACACCATTCTGTGCTATGTGCTAGGAGACATCTATGAATTTTATAAATGGGACAGGCCTGTCAATCATCTGGCATTTAGGACACTGTTTGCTAGCACAGAAGAGGCCTGCAATGAGTCACAGATACTGCCAGAATATAGCTGTAAGGAGTCAGTTACCAAACGGAGGCCTGGCACTGCCACTGCATCTCTCCAGCTCTATGCAGGGCCCAGTGGTGTGTTGAGAGACCCTCATAATTTTTATTCCCCTCCCAACTTAAAAATCTGAGCTTAATTTTTGGAAACTGCCTCAGGCACTGGAGGGTAGTAGGAAATCCCTTCTCATTGTGTTGTACCAAATCTGCAATATGGTATTGCCCTGAAGGTAAAATGTTACTGAAATGTAAGGAAGTTTCCCTTCATGGATTACTTCAAAAATACAGATTTTAAAATTCACTGGCTCAGAGTTTCTGGGGCCTAGAGTGAAACCATTGTGATTCTTGAAACTTCAGTTTGCCAGACCCAGTTTCTCAATTTCACCATTTGTAAAATGATCCTATCTAACTCAAACCTAAAAGCTCTCAGTTCTGAAGCCAAAATGCTGTAAAATTTAAAGTTTAACAACTTAGACAAAACAACAAGCGAGATTCCTAAACACGACACACAAAAATCCCTAACGATACCAGGGAAACAGTAAATTGAGCTATATTAAAATTATAAGTATTCATTAAAAGACAACATTAAGAGGGTGAAAAGTCATCCCGCAAAGCGGGTGAAAATATTCACTATATGTATATATCCAAGCAGAGACAGGTATTCAGAATAAGAGTTTTTACAGGTTAACAAAAAAAAAGTCAGATAGCTGAAGCCCTCACACACTGCTGGTGGAAATATAAATTAGCACAACCACTCTGAAAAATTGGCAGGATCTACTAAAAATTGGCAGTCACTCTACTATACCTGGAGTGACTCTACTCCTAGGTATATACCCAATAGAAATGTGTCTTAAAAAAAAAATACGGAAAAGAAAATCTGGATGCTGGTTGCATGGGATGTGTTCATTTTGGGAAAAGTTCATTGGGTTATATTCTTAGGGTTTGCATAGTTTTCTTTATATAATATGCTTCAATAAAAAGTTTTTTTTTTTTTTAAAGAAACAGCTTCACAGAACATAATAATTTACATTTATGGTTCAGCAAAATTACAAATATTTACTTGTATTATATTACTTATGCTTGAAATTTAGGTCTCTCATGAGTTTAAATCATACATAATGAATTGAAAATATTTAACATACCAATGTTTAACATAAAATGATTCTTAAGATTGAAGGCTTTAATGATAGAATGCCTGGAATTGAAACCTATCTCTACCACTTGCTGTGTGACACTGGGTAAATGATGCAATCCTTCTATGCCTCTGTTTCCTCATCTGTAAATGGAAATACTAATGGCATCTACCTTAGAGGGCTGCTGTCAGCATTCAATAAGCTAACATATGTAGAAGGCTTAGTACCGTTACTGACACACAGAAAGCACTCAGTAAATGTTTGCCAGGTTTTTTTTGTTTTTGTTTTTGTTTTTTTTTTTTTTGAGACGGAGTTTCACTCATGTTACCCAGGCTGGAGTGCAATGGCGCGATCTCGGCTCACCGCAACCTCCACCTCCTGGGTTCAGGCAATTCTCCTGCCTCAGCCTCCTGAGTAGCTGGGATTACAGGCATGCACCACCATGCCCAGCTAATTTTTCGTATTTTTAGTAGAGACGGGGTTTCACCATGTTGACCAGGATGGTCTCGATCTCTTGACCTCGTGATCCACCCACCTCGGCCTCCCAAAGTGCTGGGATTACAGGCTTGAGCCACCGCGCCCGGCCGATGTTTGCCAGTTTTATTAACATTAATGATTGTTTAACACATACTTAAAGATTCTTTACTCTGTTCAAGGCATAGAGCTGGTTGCCACAGCAATGAGAGAACCGAATAAAATGATTTAATCCTTTGTGTTTAAAACCCTGGAGAGCCCAGGGCAATGACCCACATATACTATACAGTGGATAAATATTTGTTACTGCTGTTCCTGAGATAGCAGCATTTAAATTACATCTCTAGACTGGCAGGTGGAAAGCCTTAAATCCATATTCAACTTGAAGGTTTTATTTGAGCACTAGAAAGAGATTTAACAGTAATGGTCCATGAGTCTGGAGATGGAAAACTGGGAAGTCAATGAAAAATAAGTTTAAGTAATGTGAGTGTTCAGTCCCTAGAGCTAGTGTGATGTTCCTGTAGCCTACATGAACAGAGCTAATGAAATAAAGAGCCATGGTAAAAACAATATAAATCATACTACTGATTCTTGGACTTGAAAAACTCATCATGATACATGTTAGAAAAACAAAACTCCGAATGACCATGAATATTTTGACACTGTTTTTTTCCTAAGTAGGAAGGAGGAGTCCCCTTTAAAATACAGAATGTATTTATTGAGTGGAAGACTGATTCTATCTCAAATGTCCAGGTTCTACGGACGCCTGGGTCCACAGCACATTGTCTCTCTCACCAAAACCAAACCAAACTGTTTCATTTGAATGCACTATTGCCATGGTTTCAAAATTTGGAAAGCTCTTGGAATTAAAATTTGAGATGTAAAGGATGGCTGACAGATCCACAGAAACCCTCTTTCCGACACGAGCTCATAAATCCTAAGGCATCCCGCAAGCCCGTGGGTGCCGGTTCCTAGTTTGAAATGCTCTAACACGGGTTGGTGGAGCTCCCTGGGCTGAGACCATAAGCATTCGGGATTGTGCCACTGAAAACTTGATGTCACATCAAAAGGAACGCCTGTCTTCTAATACTGAAAAGATTTTTTACAGGCTGGGCCCACAGATCTTAGGGCTCGCCAGTTCCTGCTCCCAGGTATTCTAAGAAGCCGTAGAAAGCTCCCTGCAGGTAGGGACCATCTGCGCCTCCCGCGTCGCGGGAAGTGAAGGTTGGAGTCCTTTCCCCGCCCCCGGAGGGGGTAGGCGGGGCCTGAGGGCTGCACCGCCGCCAGACCCGCCCCCTGCGCGTGTCGCTGCTCACAGTGCTCCCAGCCCGGCCGCCGCGCGGAGGGCGGAGGCCGGGGGCGGGGCTCACCCCTTGCCTCTGGGGTCCCCCGGGCTCCACCAATCAGCGAGCGCCCTGTTGGCCATCCACAGCCATCCGCGCTCCTCCCTCTCCCGCCCTCCTTCGCGTCCCAGAATCCAAGATGGCGGGGTCCAGGCGGAGGGGTCTCCAGGCCAGAGTTCGGCCGCTGTTCTGCGCGTTGCTGCTGTCACTCAGTCGCTTCGTTGGGGGCGACGGCGTGGGAGGAGACCCCAGTGCCGCCGGCGCCGCTGGCACCCCGGCCACGCTACCACATCGCCGTTTCGAGTACAAATACAGCTTCAAGGGGCCGCACCTGGTGCAGAGCGACGGGACCGTGCCCTTCTGGGCCCACGCGGGGAGTAAGCCCGGGCAGAGGGCTGGGGACGGGTTCCTCCCCGCCTTCCGCCGCCTATTCACCTTTCATCTGCGGCTACCCTGGTGTGCTGAGGTCCACTTCCAGCCGCTGCACACCATATGCGCTGTGGAGGGAACCCTCTTGGCAGCCCCTCCTGCGGATCCTTCCTGGATTGCACGGTTCCCTCAGCTTTTGCCCGAGTCTTCCCCTCACCCATTCTGTTCTCTCACCCGCCTGCTGTCTTCCCTTCTTTGATCACGTTGGTACCTTCCATTTGATCTAGAGGTGTTTTGTTACCTCCTGCGCGTCCTAGCACTCAAACTTGCTTCTAGGTATCATGTTTCATCCTAACGCTAGGTCTTTAGAAGTGTCCCCTACTCCCAGCTATCCCAGCCTGAGACATGTTTTAGAAGCCCCCTTCCTTTCCGGCTTCCCCCGCGACCCCTGCATTCTTTTCTTCAGTGTTAGCAATGGTTAGTGCTTCATTTGAACCCGATGCCCACTGATGTCTCCAGAGATGGCATATATTGGTATTAGAGTAATTTTTAAGTTTGTATGTCAGACGACACTCTTATACTGTTGGAACTACACCTTACATTTTCCTCTCTGACTTGGTGAGGTCTTTGATCTTTTCTCTTGTAGTAACATTATGTAACTTAGGAGAAGGCATATATTTTGGGGGATTGTTTCTGAACCTGAGACTAAGAATAGCATTACATTTTTAGACCTTTAAAACAATTGGAAACATTGACATAACCTCGGCTTCATATTTTATTCACTCTCTGTGTTTGGCACTGTTATAGATAAGAGAGTCTTGCTAGAGCATTTACTTACGTGAAAGAAAACATATCTGCACTTTTTAGTGCTGATGTGTCACTGCTGACTAAGGAGTCAATTGTAGCACTTGGCATGACGTAAGCTTTGTTCAATGACCATCAGATATGCCCTTTGAACAAGTGGCAAATGCCTTAATAGGAGGTGAGGAGCTCTGGCAGTTTGAATTCTGTCTTTATGTGTGATTAAGCAATCTTGTATGTAAGGTTTTTATACATCATTTTAAATTGTCCTGTGCTTGAAACAAAATGATTCATTTCTAGAAAGCAATTACTGAATAGGAAGCACTCTTTTAGGAAGAGCTGTTTTTCTCAAATTAATGTGTAATTCAAAGGTCTAGATTTCAATTTGACTTAATGACCAAGCAATTAAGTAGTTGAAGTAGAGTGCAGTTATTTTGTTACTCATCAGTCATTTATTATGTGCCCATGCAACAAGGGTGTATTACTGGGCCTTTGTTATCAAAGTAACTCTGTTCTTGATTCAGAAGGTGATGCAAATGATGTCAAACACAAGTTTTTGGAGTTTTCGTTTCTATTTTTGGAATGAGGATGAATTATTCAGTAGTGGTGATGGATTTGTTCAGTTTTTCACTTCTACACCTCTCTATTGTCTGCCTGGTCTTCTCTTTTCTGTTTTTCTCACATTCGCATACACTACATCAGCCAGTTAGGAATGTTAATCAACTAGTCAAATCAGTTACCTTGACTTCCTTTACAGAGCCATAGCCAACTAATCTAGTCTGCTAGAGAAATGTCAGGATAATGTACCTTAGTAAATTAAAGTGGTGTTACTATAATGAATTTGAAGCAAAGTTATTAGTCTTTTTGCAGTGATTTATCTGGCTGCTTGCTCTGGGAATCCCTGCTATGGACATCTCTTGCTTTCATTGTCACTGTAGTTTTTACATAAGCCTCACTGTAACTACATTGATCTTTTTTTCCTTTTCATTTTGTCCTGCAATTCATTACTTTGAAAAACTTAAAATACAGAAATTTAAGATCTAGTGTAAACACAGCCCTTTACCTTCAACCCCAAATTGAGACCAAATCTATGGTGTTTCTCTTTCTTAACTCTAATGTTCCGTTAGTACCCATCTTTAGGTCCCTAAGGGCAAAAAATGGTAATTTGTAACCTTTTATAGCTCTCAAAGCTCTTTCACTTTCTTTCTCTGATTTGATCCTTAGTAGACAAGGCAGGTGTTATCGGTTTTATAGATGAAAAACTGATGTTCAGAAAGGTTAAGGTTTTTGAAAAAGGATACATAACTAGTGTCAGTGAAATTGAACTCAAATCTGGGTCTTCTGATTCTGTGTCCAGTCTCTTTCCATGATGCCCCCCACCCCCATCCTTTGAATGTTTGAAAGTAGCAGTGACAAACAGTGACTGATCCTACTAAAATATCTCAGCTTTCCTTTTTGTCGATTTTTTTTCTACCTGTGAAGTGATATTACAGTTAGAGTTGTATTTCCCAGCATGGGTGTCAGAACTAGTTAATATCTGAGAGCTAGAATTGTTCACTTTTTAAGTTTGATAGGCCTTTAATAATTACCTAGTCTAATACTAGGAGATATAGCTAACATTTATTGAAACATTTAGAGCAACTTATATAGGCACTTAAATACCTATGAGGCTATTGGAGAAATGGAGTAACTTGCCTACAGATCAAACAGCTAGTAAGTAGTAGAGCTGGGGCTTGCACCTGGCCTGGAGTTGCAAGCCACCGTTTTGAGGATCACTATTTTCTCTGAGAATCTGCTGAAGAATTGCTTATTGAAGTTCAGTTGACCCTCTCCATGGAAGAATGTATATAAGTACAATATTTTGCATATAACTTTTAGGGTGTTTATGGAAGCGATCCTTCATTTTACAGGTGAACATATGGTGAACCCAAGAGAGTAAGAGAATTATTTGCTCAAAGTCACACAGCTGAACTGAGACTAGGAACAAGTCTCTTGATTCCTAGTGGTATGTTCTTTTCACACTGTTTGAGCTTTCTAACCTTGTAAACTGGCAAAATACATTGCAGTTTTTTTTTAAGTGCAAATTTTTAAGGTTTTTAAAAAGAATATTGTGAGAATCAGATAGTTTGCCTTAAAGTCATAATTCCCTTTCTCTTGCCCACTGTCCCTGGAATTTTTAGTGTATGAATGTAGCTTTATTTATTTTTTTATTTGATAAGGGACGTGTTAGCCCTAAACTTTTAAAGTTGAAACTGTCAACATGAAATTTTTTCCTAATAATTATTGTACAGGTTACTAAGTCTCTGTAGGTGTATTTAGCAGTTTGGAAATGATTCATTGAGTTTTACCCAATTATAACTTAAAGCTTTTCTTCCCTGATTTCTGTTCCAGATGCTATTCCAAGTTCAGATCAAATTCGAGTAGCACCATCTTTAAAAAGCCAACGAGGCTCAGTGTGGACAAAGACAAAAGCAGCCTTTGAGAACTGGGAAGTTGAGGTGACATTTCGAGTGACTGGAAGAGGTCGAATTGGAGCTGATGGGCTAGTATGATCATTTCTTTAACCTAGAAAATATATGTAAATACATATATACCACTAGCCTCTAACTGTTCCCTATTATATATTTTCAGGCAATTTGGTATGCAGAAAATCAAGGCTTGGAGGGCCCTGTGTTTGGATCAGCTGATATGTGGAATGGTGTTGGAATATTTTTTGATTCTTTTGACAATGATGGAAAGGTATATTTATTGTCAGGACTGTTACTCACCTTAATATATCTACTAGCAGAGTTAGGCTGTGAGAAATATAGCTTATTTAATACTTTCATCAGTTCGATAGTACAGAACTCTCCAAGCTGTATGATAAATATGTTAATTAGTCTTTATATAGCTGGAATTTGTCAGTTTAATTTACATGTACATGATTTTTTATACATCAGCTTGAGGCCATAGTGGAGTCCTGACTCTCAGAGTTTTGCATTGACTTCTGCTCCCATGGCCCTACTTAATGGATAAACACAGATCTGTAGATGTAGGTGTAAAAGCAGTAGTGTT